ACATTTTTGTAATAAAATTGTGGGATCCCTACTAAAGAAGTATGGTGTGACTCACAAGATCTCCACCGCTTACCACCCTCAAACCAATGGTCAAGCGGAAACCTCAAACAGGGAGTTGAAATCTATACTCCAGAAAACAGTGAACCCGAACTGCAAGGATTGGAGTATACGCATTGATGATGCACTATGGGCATACCGAATTGCCTACAAAACACCAATCGGTATGTCCCCTTATAGACTTGTGTTTGGCAAAGCGTGTCATCTTCCCGTAGAGCTAGAACACAAGTCTTATTGGGCGGTGAAAGAATTCAACCTCAATCTTGACGAGGCCGGTATATATAGGAACCTCCAATTGCAAGAATTGGAAGAACTTCGCCTAGATTCTTATGACAATGCCGAGATATGCAAGAGAAAGACGAAAGAGTGGCATGATAAAATGATCATATGGAAAGACTAACTTGATGACAAAATCCTCCTATTCCAATCACGCCTCCGTCTATTTCCGGGAAAGCTGAGATCCCGTTGGACTAGACCACACTTCAAAATATATCCACACGGGGCGGTAGAACTTCAAGACCTGGAGACGGGAGAGGTGCTCAAGGTGAATGGACAGAGAGTAAAACCCTTCTTTGAGGGTTTTCAACCCAAAAATGTGGAAGTCATAGACCTTTCTGAACCGGTCTATGAATGAAGAGCAAAGATATCGTCGAGCCACGACGTTAAACAAAGCGCTTCATGGGAGGCAACCCATGCAAGGTATGTTTTCTTATTCAGTCGTGTGAGTGTGTGTATTAAAATATTTTCCAAAAAAACGTCCCGGTGAACCCAGCCGGGTGTCCAACTCGACCCGGTCGGATTCCATCATAAAACCCACACCCGCCACACACCCGGGCGAGCCAGGCCAATATTTTAAGTTAAAATGATTTTCACTCGACCGAGTGAATTTAATAAAAGCATCTGGAATAAAAAAATTGACCGGGCGATTAAATCTTTGCAAAACCCGGCCCCTAGAACACAACACCCGACTGGGTCAATGGTTCCACCTGGCCGGGCGTTTTGCCTATAATGTTTCTGGATAAGCCGAAGTTAAGCCCGACCGGGTCAATGGTTCCACCTGGCCGGACGTTTTCATTAAAAACTCACTGGATAATCCCACCCGGTCGGGTGATCGGGTTTTGACAGCAAAAGAGGTCGGGCATCCTCTTGCTTCTCCATTTCTCCTCTCCCCCATACGAACCATAACTTTCAAAAACTCCATTTTCGGATCTCAAAGCTTCAATTCCTCCCCATTTCTCCACCAAATCCATCACTTAAACACATTTTCTTCATCTCATCAATATCCACTTCCATTTTCTACCCAAAAATCCTACCTAAATCCACCCCCAAAAGAAACCTGAAAACCCTAACACCCATCTCCAAAGGTCCGAATTTTCCCCCCAAATCCCCAACAAATCCCAATTTCTTCTCCTAATAATCATCCTCTCCGCTCTCAAAACCCTAAAATACCCAAAATCCACCAAAAATACAAAGTTCCAAACCCCACCATACCCAAGTCTGAAAATACCAAGAAAATAATCCAAAAAAACTACTTTCATGGCTCCTAAAAAGTCCAAAGCATCTTCTTCAAGGGGTGACCGAGCTATTACACCCGTTCCCGGTTTTGAGAGTGTGAAATTTGACACCGAGGTCCACAAAAAGCGCTTCATAGAGCAAATCAAACGGCATGTAAAACAATCCCGTTTCATATGCATTACTACGCTAGTGTCATTCATGCTTGATGCGATTATGCATGATATTTTAACAAACATTGGGATGCTTAGGATATTTGAGATGCAATATGTTACCTATCCACATTTGGTGTATGAATTCTTTAGCTCGTTTAAGCAAATAGCAAATGTTTATGATCATGCTGAAAGTAGAATCACATTTCGTTTGTTGAATGAGAACCGTTCATTGACCAAGCGGGAGTTTGCCCAACACTTTGGTGTCCCCTTGTTCAATAAAGAACGTGAACATGACACCTTTGTGGGTGTGGAGTTGTGGCAAAGGATGACAAGTCAGGTGGATGTGGAGCTCAGACACCTTAATGTGAATCGTGTGCAACATCCAGTCTTCCGAATTTTCTTAAAATTCTTATTAAACTATTTTCTCGGAAGACCGACTAACCATCACACAAGGGTATGGGATGTTTTAATTCTTGGACAAGCTGTTTTATCAGGTCCGGATCAAGTGGATGTTGCCTCCATCCTATGGGATCACTTCAAGACAGTGGCAATTTCCACAGGAACTATTAGGGTATAGGGGCTTGATTACACATTTAGCTACACTTTATGGCTTTGTAGATCTAGGCCTCATTACCTCAGCACAGCTAGTTTGTATATCATGGCTCCTGAAAAATACCAAAGATATTGTTTTTTCTTATAAAACACCCGGTGGGGTAGATATCTATAATTGGTTAATCGACCCACCTAATGCCATTTATACACAAATACCCTCAACTGACCTCCCTTTGGACCTTTTGGATCACCAAATTGGTGATGGACACCACTATTGTCTCCCCGGGCAAATACCACTCCATTACCAACAAGAACAATCCCAACAAGAACAACCTGCAGTTGAAACACCACCCCTCATTCCCGAACAACCTCAACCAACCGGTGAGCGTAGCTCAACTGGTAGCAAGGGAGTGCCACAAGGGTTAGGTCCTGGGTTCGAATCCCGGCAACTGCGATGAGGGGTTACTATGCTAAAAATGCATAGGGCCTCTGCAAGTATCGGGGACAGAGCCCCACTCTCTATCTGTCAGATTGGGATTATAGTCCAATTTACATCCTCCCAACGTACTGTCTGGTCGGGGTTGGGGGGCCCTCAGGGATGGGGTGTCATCCTTTTTTTGAACAACCTCAACCACAACCTAATGCTCACCAATATTCACCATTTGAGCAACAAAGGCTAAATAACATGAATGCTCTAAACCTCAACTACACTCAACTTCGGGAGGAAGTTGTGTTGTATAGAACTGAGCAAAGGCAGAACTATGTGAGGATAGAGGAGCAAAGGCAAGCGGACTGGCAGAGATACGAAGAAGATCGGCGGAGAGATAAGGAAAACCATAGGAGGACTTTTGGCCCTATCTACTCCTATGTAGCACATCAGGGTGACTTTGCATCTATGACCACTCCTCCTCCGGCACCCTCATGGTATAACTCCACTGAATGGGGTTATTTTGGTGGTTCGGTCTCTAGTGGTGGAGGCGGGGATGACGGATACGGCGGTGATCACATGGATGAGGATACACACTTTAGGGGCTACCATGGCTATGGAGGCTTTTTTTATGTCGGAGATGCAGGCGGGCACTAGGGACTGTGCCATGGACTAGCGGTGGGGGAGATCTTTCCGGTATGTTCACATTCATACCCTTGATTGTTGTTTCTTTTTTAAAAAAAAGCTTGTTAAGTTGAGAACCCACAAAGGGCAGCTTAAGCAAAAATAAAGCAAAAATAAGAGTGAGTTTGTGAGATTTATTGAAGAAAAATGTGGGAAGCTGGGTTGAAAACCCGAAAGGGCACCTAGGCAAAATGAGAGAATGAGAGAAAGTATTTCTTTTGATTTTGCAGGATCCTAAGGATGATTACTAAAAAGAGTTCATTGGATGAGGAAATTGGAATTAAAGATCCCTTGATGTATTCTTTTTATGTTGGGGATACTTTGTGATTATTTTGGTTCTAAAAACACTTTGTGATGGTTGTGTTAATGAACTTATCATTTTAGGATTTCTTGGATTGCATTTACTCGAGACGAGTAAATATTCAAGCGTGGGGATATTTGATATGTAGTAGTTTATAGTGCATAAATGTGTGTTTTTATATATATTTTGTGTGGATTTTCTATCGTTATTAGTTGGTTTGTAAGCATTTGTTTTATTTTGTTTATAATGGTTTTTAGCTTCCATTTATAGTTGTAGAATAGTGGTAGAGTTTTTAGCAAGGAAAAGGAGAAAAAGCTGAAGACAAAAATACCCAGGAGCACAAAACCTGGTCGGGCCAGACCCTGAACCCGGTCGGGTCTGATTTGAAAACCGAACCTCTGAGGAAAGAGCTGGACCCGGCCGGGTCAACTAATTCACCCGGTCGGGTCGGATTTGACCCAAAACATTTTAACGTGCTGAAACACAAGAACATGTAAGATTATCTGATCTTGACATGCACCCGGTCGGGTACCCGGTCCAAGGCGTTGAAAAACACCTATACATAGCACACTTTTTCTTCACAAAGAATCATCCCTTCTTCCATATACTTAAGCTCAGTTTAGAATAGTTATTTCTTATATTTTTATAGCATGTTTAGTCTCCAAATGAGGAGCTAAACTTCCATTTCTTGGTTTTGCTCTTGAAAGTTGTTGATTATTAAAGTTGTGAGTTATTTTCTTAACCTCTTCTCTTGATTATTAATTCTTCCCTTAATCTCAATCTACATTAATGTTAGAAACGATTAGTGACGATTAGTTAACATTCTGACATTAATTATTACTAGAAACGATCAATGAACCGATGGTTAATCATTGATGGTTTTACAAGTAAGCAACTTCGGTTTATTAATGCACGGTTGTGGTTAATAAACTTAAGAGAGATTAATTTTGTTGGTTAAACCGAAACCGTTGTGTTGAGGTTATCAATCTCAATTGATTTTATCAAGGAGTTAAGAGATTAAATGCTACTATCAAGTCGGTATATGGCGGTGTTCTATACTTGACTAATAGTAAGGGATATTAATGAACGATGGTTGTTAATAATTACCCTCGATGAATTGGATATACTCCTCCATTGAGTATTCGAAAGGGGATAAGTTATAGATATAACAATGATCGACTAAAATATATCAACAAGTGGAAAGTAGCAAGGCCAAGTCCCTTTTATTCTTGAATTAAATCTCATATAAGCCGTTCATCTTCGTGTTTAAATAAATTAAATCACTCAATCCAAATCCCCCCTTTATTTACTTCTTTCATTAAAAAGATAATTATTCCTTTCCCTGTGGATACGAACTCTACTTCACCTATACTACGTATGAGTGTTAGTATCAATTTATTTTGACGCATCGTGACAAAGTGCACGTCAGGCAACTTCTGTTACCTGTCATGTGTCTGGAGCATCCATTATCAATAAACCATTCTTGCTCAGAGATAGCTCCCGCACACAGTTCCTGCAAAATCAAAAGAATGATTTAGGTACCCAAGCAATGTTGGGTCCTAGGGGGTCATGTAGTCTTGATAGTCGGTACCACTTTGGTCTCATCAAGTGAAACATTGGTGGGTGGTACCCATTGTCCACCTGGTAGTCATAGTAAACTGAAGTGTGATTCACTTTGTCAGATGCTTGTGAGGGTCATGCTTCCTGTTTACATACTTCTGCATAGCTTTTCTCGTTGGAAAGAAGTCCCATATACTATCAAGAGCAGAGGAGCAGTTAGCTTTGGGCTTCTGAAGTTGACCAGCCAACCTCTTCTGCCTAAAGTTAATCTTCTCTTGATATCTGCCTTTCTGGTGATCATTTCTGGCAAGGTAGTCATGAGAGTGTCTGATCGAATTCTGTCTTTGATTTCTGTTATTTTGAAAACCTTTTCTGTTGTTAGGTTTTCTGCCAGGTTCATTAGTTTTCAAAACTTGTTTAGGTTGAACCTTGAATTTTTTGTTTTCTGGTATGAATCTCTCATGAACAACCTTTGTACCAGATACACTAGCTTGGCAGATGGGGCTAGAAATCAGTGACACTATGACCTTATCTGCCTTAGCAACTCTGGTGCTAGGCTTTACAGAAGGTTCACCTGAATCTGTTGAGCCATATCCAAGACCAAAACCAATGCCAACTTGTTGGTCAAATACTAACCTTTCCATGGAAGACTGGGCCTTCTGGTAGGTGTTGTACTTGATTTCAAGTGACTATATTTCTCTTACTCTCTTTAGAAGATAAACATTTTCAGCTTCCAGCTGATCTCTTTCCTTAATCAGAAGATTGATTTTGATCTCAACCTCTTTTTTTAAAGTCAAGGATTTCAAGCTTCAGCTTACTGTTTTCTTCTTTGACAGAAGAGTAAGTGGTTTGGATGGCTTTAAACTCTTCCTAAAATTCTGTCATTGAATCAGAATTAAAAGCTTTGCCTACCGAAGAAAAACTAGAAGGCTTCTCATATATCATCTTTCATGTTGATGAAAATAATGAATTTAAATTGAGTATTATTTGCTGATAATCTAAAGATAATGTTTTTAACTAAGTCTCATTCTATTTGTATTATGTCTTATTTGTTGACATTAGTTTGGAAAATTATATCTTGAACTTAATTACTATTTTTATTTTTGTCACTAACTTGTGCAATTAGGAATTATTCTTTTAAGTAGTAAAGACATTTGCTACTTGAATACGTATATACTTGAATTTCTTTTTACTATATATGTTATTTTGTGAAGTATATAAATTAAATGTTCAAAATAATACCCCGTATTTTTTGTCCGAATTTTTGTAACAGATACCGTATTATACACGTATACGTATTTACACGTTTTTTAAAAGTCAACGTTTTTTTTAACGAATTTTTGACCGTTTTTTCATTAATGTTACCGAATAAAACGCGTACGTATCAAACCTCGTTTAATTCTCATACCGTATTTAACCAACTAGGCTAGAAGCAGAGGTAGAGGATACATCATCATCAAATTGATCCATGAGGCATAGGTCTTCAGTCTCTGTATCTAGACAACAGAATGCCTCATCGGATTCTGATTCAGAACTGGATTCTGTTTCAGAGAGGGGGTCCTTCTCTGGTTGCTCATAGATGAGAGCTTTCCTCCTTCCGTTCTCATACTTCTTCTCTCCTTCATGTCCTTGTCTCTTGGACACTATGGGGTGTGGACAATTGGTTTTGAAATGCCCAGGATGCCTGCAGTTGTAACAGAGAAGCTCTCATGTGCTTTCTGAAGATTTGGTCTTCTGAAATGGCTTTCTGCCGGAGGATGGACTTCTGCCATCCTTGGGCTTCAAAAATTTCCTAAACTTCCTGGAAAAGGCAGCCATATATTCGTCAGTTAAAATAATGGAAGGATCAAAGTTATTTACCTTAGAGGTACAGGCAGTGAGGGCAGTAGTTGTTCTGTCCTCAACTTCTTCTTTCTCTTCCTCATTCATCTCGAACTCATAAGATTTGATATCAGAGATGAGCTTTTTTGTGCTGTATGTCTTGAGGTCTTTGCTATCTTGCATGGCAGTGACCTTCATCTTCCAGGGTGAAGATAGGCCTCTGAGAACCTTCAGGTTGATCTCCTTGGGAATCAGTTCCTTCCCAAGCTCAGAAATCTCAGTAGTAAGGGTGAGCAGACGTGTATACATCTCAGTTATGCATTCTTTGGGGAGAAGTTTGAAGTCTTCAAACTTCTTCGTGGCAATAGTAAGCTTGTTATCCTTCTGCTGCTCATCACTAGCTCCAATCAGGGTGAGTGTATCCCAGATTTTCTTGGCAAAGGTGCATTTCTTGATTATGGTGAAGTATTTGTCATCTATGGCCTTGTAGAGGATGTCTTTGGCAATGTTGTCAAGGTTGTACGTCCTCCTTTCTTCGGTTGACCACTCATGATGTCCCTTGATGATCATCTGTGGTTGATCACCACCAGCAAGATAATCTGGGTTCACCTTTTTGAACTGAGTGAAAGGACATGCATCAAGAACTTCCCACATCTCATCATGGAGTGCGCAGAGGTGGGCTTTCATCCCGATCCTCCAGTCATCAAACTTAGTAACTGAAAACATAAGATTCTTGGAAAGTGTGTTATCCATAATAACAGATTTAAAATAAAGGCTAAGAAACAAATGGATCTTTGTTCAGCAAGTAACCTAAAAAATTACAAGAACAAGGAGGCTCTGATACCACTTGTTGGTCCCGTTTATACTAGGAACAGTCCAGGGGGGTGAATAGACTATTCAGTTTTTTCAAACTTTTTCTCAAAGTCACAAATGACTTATCACAGAGGGTTTGGTACTGACGACAGAGAAGGTCGAGTTCTGATGGCATAACCGGACCTGACAGCGGATACGAGTTCTGTCCAGGTAGTCTTAAGAAAACACTAAGGCAGATGCCTTTCTGATAACTCTCAGGACAAGATCTGCTGAACACAGAGTCCAAGTCTTTGAATTAATCAGTTAGAGTCTTAAGTGTAGAAAGTAAATGCGTTAAGTAAATGACACCGGGGTTTTTTATAGTGGTTCAAGGAACAACGTGTTCCTCTAGTCCACTGTTCCACTAAGCTTGTAAAACGATAGTTACAACGCCTTAGTCCCTAGCACTTAAGAAGCTCTCCTCGTCTTCTTCAAGTCTAGTTGTCACCCGGGATGCTCTTCCTAGCTTCCTGATGACTGGTCTCGTGTTCACTGAGTCTCTTGAAGTATCACCACTTTACTACTCCAGTTACTTGAGACGTCCCTTCTTTTTCAAGAAATGTTTTCACTTAAGAACGGTTTCTCCAATGTAACTTCGTCACAAAGGATTTGTAGTTGAGGCTCTTGAAGTGTTGAAGAACTAGGGGAACAATTCTCTCACGTCGGAAAGAAAAGATATAAAGTTTATATTCTTTTCCAACGTTAAGTTTTGTTGCTCTAGAAGAAGGGAGTTTGTAGTCTTTGAGCGTTTGAGTATTAGCACTTAGAGAGATAATTTCAGTCGTTGTTCGTTCCTCCCTTTTTTTCCAGTCCTTCAAAGTGTATCTTATAACTGGGACTAGTCTTCCCGTTGGAGGTTAGAAGGCAGCTTCATTTAATGCTTGTAGTGTTCATTTGACCGGTTGGTTCTTGACTTGCTATTTTGGGGGCGGGAAGATATCCGCATGATCAATAATCAGCTTTAAATATCTCAATGTACGACCCACATTAATTTTGCATTTAATGCGTGAACAGTACCATGTTCCGTTGAGAGGCTTCTAGCCGTTAGAGGAATTTCCCGTTAGTTTAACGACTATTTAAAGTACCTCCGAATTCTTCTAAGTGCCAGCAAGTCTGATGAGGTGCTCTGATAGCAATTCTGATGGCCGGCTCTGATGGCAACTCTGGTAGCATCTCTGAAGAGCAGTTCTGGTGGCAACTCTGATCAAGAGATTAAAGAGGCTTTCTGGCCAGTCGACTACGCTATTACTTACACAAAGAAAAATTCTAATACAGGATTTCTGAAGGCGTACTCTAATATCCTAATTAACTTAGCATCATCAAAATCTAAATACAATTATTCCTTACAAAGAAGCATTTCTCCCACTTGCTAACAATAAGACAACGGAAGGAGGAGACCCTTCGGGACTTCTTGGAACGTTGGAGGCAGGAGACGGACAGATTCATTGGCGCCGACGACAGGACCCTGATGGCTCTCTTACAGACGGTCCTCGTCCTCCGTTCCGGGAACTTGTCTACGAGCCTCATCACCGAGCCACCCCGTGACTACATAAGGGACCTTTAAAGGGGAGACAGGTACGCCGAAGCTGAGGAGATAGACAAATATCGCCGAAACCCTGAACAGCCCCACAAACCAGAAGGCAAGAACCAACAGAATCCGGGGACTCCACCCCATCCGGCAAAGCTGCAAGCTCCCTTTAGTGACCGTCCCCGACATGGCCAAGCCAAGACCGGGGGAGGTTACAAGAACAATCCGAGGGCCTTGGCACAACCAACGCTTTTAGAACACCCTCGGACCCCCCTGACGCACCCCATCGGTGTCATCTTGGACTATGTCTTGTGGAGCGAGACTCTCGCGCACCCAGAGGTATATGCCATCAACCCTAATGAACTATAATGTCGCTTTCATCGCCACCAAGGGCACAGAACCGATGACTGCCATCAGCTGAAAACAGCCATCGAGAGGCTAATACAGACGGGTCATTTGTCCCAATTTGCCAGGGGCCCTCAACATCAAGGGCCCTCAGCATCAAGGGCCCCCTCAAGGGCCACCGGCGAAAGAAAACACTTGGGTCAACCCTAACACCATCCCCTTGGGAGATCCGAAGGGGAAGAAGCGAGAAATAGGGAACCTCAGTGGGGAGGAGGATCAACAGCACCAGTACAAACGCCACATCCACATGATCACCGGAGGTAACACCGGGGGAGATTCCACGAGCCAGAGAAAGAAGTGGGCACAGTCCCTCTACGTCGGGGAGGTCAACCATATGCCCCCAGCTAAGAGACCGAGGGCACATCCCATAATGTTCACTGATGTAGATCTGCCCGCGGGTTCACTTCCTCACAGGGATGCCCTCGTCATACGGACAGAGATCAACAACACCGTCATCCATCGCACTTACATCGACACAGGTAGCTCCGTCAACGTAATGTACCTCAACACTTTTCGGGAACTTGAGCTCGATATGGGATCCCTCCCGCTAATCAAAACACCCCTCTTAGGGTTCACCGGAGATAGCATTGACGCCGAGGGCGTCATCTCCTTATTGACCGAATTCGGCGATGGATTCCACAGAGCCAAGCTCGAAGTAGAATTTGTCATCGTCAACCTCGACTGCACATATAACATCATCCTCGGCCAGCCCGCCCTCGAAGACTTGGAGGACGTCATCTCAATGAGGCACCTCTGCCTCAAATTCCCCATGGCCGGCGGCGTGGGATACTCCCGGGGGAACCAGAGGCTCTCTCGGGCCTGCTACCTTCAACTCATCAAGAAGGTTAGCAAAACTGAACTCCGCATTGATATTAGTACCGCCGCTATAGAAGAGGAGGAATGTAGGCCGAGGGCTGAACCTTTCGAGGAGTCTGATGACTTCGTACTCGATCCGGTTAAGCCGGAGAGAGTCTTGAAGATTGGAGCCAAGCTCATCGAAGACTTGAAGACCGGTATCACGGAGGCCCTCCGCGCCTACTCCATTGTTTTTGCATGGGGGCGGAGGACATGCCGTAAATCCACCGAAGGGTGATCACTCATCGCCTGGTGGTGGACCCTTCCTCAAAACCTGTGCAGCAGAGAAGAAGACATCTCTCAGCGGAAAGGAGGGACTTCGTAAAGAAAGATGTCACTATGCTCCTCTCCATCAAACACATCAGAAAAGTAAAATACCCTTCGTGGTTAGCTAATGTGGTCCTTGCACAAAACCCACACACCTTCCGCATGTGCGTGGATTACACAGACCTGAATAAGGCATGCCCTATGGATCCTTTCCCTCTACCGAACATTGACCAGCTGGTGGATGAAACGGCGGGATGTGAAATCATGTCTTTCCTCGACACTTTTCAAGGATATCACCAGATATATATGCATGAGGGGGATGCGGAAAAAACAACCTTCATGACGCCCGAGGGAATTTTCCGCTATCTAGTTATGGCCTTCGGCCTAAAGAATTCGGGTGCCACTTACACCCGAATGGTGGCCAGGGTCTTTCAAGCCGTCCTAGGGCACACCATGGAGGCTTACGTCGACGACATGATCGTCAAAAGCAAACGATCAACCAGCCACGCCGAGGACCTCCGGGAAATTTTCGCCATCATGCAAAAATTCGGCCTCCGGTTGAACCCGAAGAAATGCACCTTCGGCGTGCAAGGGGGGAAGTTTTTGGGCTACATGGTTAATCGAAGGGGTATTGAGGCCAACCCTGAGAAAATCCAGGTAATCATCAACATGGAACCCCCACGCAACGTGAAGGAGGTCTAGAGGCTAACGGGCCGGTTGACAGCCCTCAATCGCTTCCTATCCAAATCAGCGGAGAAGACCATTCCCTTCTTTCAGATAATGAGGAAGACTGTCGGCTTCCAATGGACTACTGAATGCCAAGTGGCCTTCGACGAGTTGAAACAATACCTCCAATCACCTTCGGTGCTCTCAAATCCCAAGGTCGGTGAAACGTTATATCTCTACCTAGGCGTTAAAAATAGCTATTATGGGGATCTTTTTTGTATACCAGCTTTGCGTTTCTAATTTCGTGTTTTTTGAATTTTTTGGGTCAGGCCAAGCCCCCACAAAAAAAATCTGTTTTTTTTTTACTTTTGATTCATGTTCTTTTAGAGGTATGCCTCTACAGAGAGGTTTTGGTTTGGCCCCCCTCTCTTTTGTATTTATTCACATTTATTAATAAAACTCTGGCAAATGTTCCCCGGCGTTTGCCCCACTGATTTTGGTGGTTTACCTTCCGGGTTAAAAAAAATATCTCTACCTAGGCGTTAGCCCCGCCGCGATCAGCTCAATCCTCATCCGAGAGGAGGACGGAATCCAACATGCCATGTTCTATGTGAGCAAGACCCTCCGGGAAGTAGAACTCAGGTACTCCCCCGTGAAAAAAAAACGGTGCTAGCTATAGTCTAGACCGTCAAAAAATTGGTTCATTATTTCCAAGCCCATCCGGTACAAGTCCTCACTCACTAACCCCTCGGCGCATTAATGCGGAGCCCTACCAGTTCCTCCAGAATGGTGAAATGGGCCATCTTCCTAAGCCAATACAACATAGACATCCGTCCGAGGCCCGCCATAAAGGGCAAAGCCCTGGCCGACTTCGTGACGGAGTGCACGGCAAGATCAGCGGCGGTAGAAGAGCCCTCGGCACCGGGAGATGAGTGGTGGACCCTCTACGCAGACGGGTCCTCCGCAACCAAAACATGCAGAGGGGGTTGTGGTCCTTATCACACCTGAAGGCTTCCACGCCTACTACGCAATCCACTTCTCCTTCAATGTCTCCAACAACAAAGCGGAATACGAAGCCCTCCTCTGTGGCCTTCGGCTGGCGGCCAACCTCAAGGCAATGATGATCCACGTAAAGTGTGATTCCAAGCTAGTGGTCGGCCAGATCTCAGGCGAGTATGAAGCAAAGGAGGGGGGAATGAAGCAATACAGGGAGGCTGCCAAGGAATTGCTCAAAGTATTTGAGGCACACTCCATCACTCAAATACCGAGGGCTCAAAATTCTGAAGCCGACATCTTATCCAAGCTCTCAGATGAGTCCCCAGAACACCTCTCCCAGATCGCGACATCTTATCTTGCCGCATCTTATCCAAGCCCTATCATGGATATACACCAGAGGCCGGAGGACTAGATTTCAGACATCACCAACTTCATCACAACAGGGCAATTGCCCGAAGATGAGGGCTGTAAAAAGTTAGCCAGGTTGAGGGCTCCAAGCTACGTCCTGGAGAACGGTAAACTCTACAAACGATCCTGCAATGGTACTTTGCTCCGATACCTCCACGAGGAAGAGGCCGAGATCGCCATGAAGGAGGTGCACAGTGGCACCTGCTCATCGCATCAGAGACCTTTCTCCATGTCCTGAAGGCTAATCATCCAAGGATATTTCGGGCCCACCATGGCCCAGGATTGCGCAGACCTCGCCCGGAAATGCAGCGCTTGACAACACTTTCAGAAGGCTCCGGGAAGGTCCACAGTGAACTACACTCCAGTCGACACAGCAATACCCTTCTCCAGGTGGGGCATTAACCTCGTAGGCCCATTGCCGAGGGGTACGTCAAACAACAAATACATAATCGTGGCCATTGACTACTTCACGAAAAGGGTAGAGGCCGAAGCTCTCGCTTGTATCACAAAGGCCCGCTGCCGCCGTTTTGTACTAAAAAACATTCTCACCAGGTTTGGCGTCCCCCAGCAGACAGTGTCCGACAATGGGACTCAGTTTGAAGCAGCCCCCTTTCGTGACCTTCTGGAGGCATGGGGAATAAAGCATACCTTTTCTTCGGTAGCCTACCCACAAGGCAACGGTCAAGTCGAAAACGCCAACCGCACAATACTGGACGGCTTGAAAAAGAAACTAGAAGCCAAAGGTGGAGGTTGGGTCGAAGAATTGCACAACATCTTCTGGGCCTACCGCACCACACCTCGGAGGGCAACAGGCGAGACCCTTTTCACCTTGTGCTATGGGTTCGAAGCAAAGGCACCCACAGAAGTGACCGTCCCGACTAGGAGGGTAGACCATTATGAAGCCGAGAGCAATGACAAAAACATGGCCTTTGACCTCCATCTCATTTCAGAACGTCAGGAGCAAGTCTTCCTAAGGGCTGAGAACTACAGGCGTCAGGTCAAGGGCTACATCGATTCCAAGATTTGTTCCCAGGAATTTCAAGTGGGGGACTACGTCCTAAGAAGAAGGGAGGTCATCCAACCCACCGAAGGTGGGAAGCTAGCACCTAAATTCGAGGGCCCCTACATCGTTGCAACCACCATCAAACCAGGAACTTACAAACTAAAATGCACCAACGGGGCCGAGGTCCCCAGGCATTGGAATGTACATCACTTGGTGAAGTTCTATCAATAACAATTTGTTCGAGTGGCCAAGCCCTCGGACAAGCCCCAAGCCCAAGACTTTCTCTCATAAAAATGAAGTGTTCCACTCTAATTACGTAAACACAAACCCTCGGTACCAAGTGCCGAGGATGAATCTTCGAATCAACTACAATTAGAAGAAAAAACACCAAGTGTTTTTTACGTTGATATGAGCCCTCGGTACCAATTACCAGAGGCATACTATGAAACATAACACCAAATGTTTTGAATGAACACCCACAACATTATATTAAGAACAAAGTCGTTCCGCTCGAGGACGCCCCCATCCCGAAGGCACCACCTATCGGTTCCGGAAGCACCAAGTGCCCCCGGCCATTTTCACCTAACATGCAAACAAAACCCTTCCCTAAAACGCTTTCCAAGCCATTACCCCAAGGGAATGGCAGGCAAAGGATGATGTCTCGGGCCCATGATTCAACATTCACAAACGAAACGCTTTACGCACTATCCCTTAAGGGGAAGCAGGCAACAGACGATGTCTCGGGCTGAGGGAACGACTTTCAAAACTGAGACGCTTTCCGCGTCATCCCCCAAGGGGAGGCAGGCAACAGACGATGTGTCGAGCCGAGGAAACGACTCTCGAACCCCTCGGATCGCGGAAGGTCAAACACCGAGGGGGGAGCCAGCGGTTCGTGCCGATGCCTCCCAAATAGACCAAATCTTCCCAAGAAACCAAGTTTCTTGAAGCCTCCCCCCATCATCCAAAAAAATGGAGTGAGGGGGAAATTGGCAACATCCAAGGCTCCTATTCTACGAATGAGTTTGAAATTGGCTAAAGTCCACTCTACTACAGCCTCCGGCACCTCAACAAATACCGAAGGCTCCTTTTCTACTATGGGCTAAATTTGGCTAAGTCCAGGTTTTGGAAGCCTCCAGCACATCAGCCAACAACGAAGGCTACTGCTCTACTATGGGCTAGATGTGGTTAAATCCACGTTTCGACAACCTCCGGCACACCGGCCAACACCGAGGGCTCCTATTCTACAAGTGAATTAGAAACTTGCTAAGTACTGGTTGTAGACTCAGTGAAGATTTTTCTAAGTACCTGACTTAAGGGCCCCCGGCACGTCAGGCAGTACCGAAGGTCTACACTTTGAGTAAGTGGCTGAATTTTCCTATGTCCTGAACTTTGGCCCCCGGACAAAGTGGAGGAGGATTCACAATTCATTCATAAGGCACAATCAAAGAAATCATGTGCAAACAAGGAAACAAAGAAAATCGAAGGCATAAAAGGCATCCATTAACAAAAACAATAGAGGTGTTTGTTACATCATGCCGAAGCCGGAAGTTAAGAAATGTTATTACACAACATTGTTCAAAAAAATCTAAGTACAAGTAACTACGCCCTCTTCTGCAACGCCCTCATCGGCCTTGGAGGTGGAACCCTCAATAGCCTCGTCTTCATCACCAAAGCGCACTCCCTCATCAGCTCGGAGTCTTCCAGGGTCGGCCTCTCCACATCCGGTGGGAGGGGATTCTGATATCTGGCTACCGAGGGGGGGAGACCGTGGGATTTTGGCTCAAAACTCTCTGGAGGAATGTTGAGATGCCAGGCCAACTTCCGGTATATTAGGTGTTGGGTGAAGAACTCACCCCCTTGATAATATGATTCGCCTTTCACAGCCAACCACATTTTGTCGGGGCCTTCAACCCAGGCATACACGCTCTTCTCCACTACCAAGGAGACCCACTCTTTCCTGTCCTCGTCCATCCAGCCCTCAGAGACGAAGGCATCAACAGCGGACTTCTCAGCCACGCCCACCGCCTCGATCTTGGCCCTCTCGGCGGCTTCAGCAACAGCTTAGGCAGCCTCCCTGGCAACCTTCTCAGCTTCGGTCTTACCCTCAGCCCTGCCCTCGGCCTTGGCAGCCTCCAACCGTTGGTCCACACCCTCCATTGCCGTCTGGAGGGTCTCCTCAAGATCGGCCATCTTTTTCCGGAGGCCAGAATTCTCCTCATCAGCAACGAGTTTGGTCTTCCTCAGCTGCTCGTCCCTTCGGAGATGCTCGCACAGGCCCATATAGGTCTACAAGAAGAAAAGACTCTAAGGGTCAGACATACTACATACATTACACAACAACAAAAGCGAATAAACATTAGAAGGGAGGAATGACTTACGGAGGCACTATTCAGGAGAGTCCTGGAGTTGAGAGCGTCATCGTCCGTCTGGGCGAGGGCCACCCTATCGCCCGAAGGCATCACCTGGCTCATGAAGACCGAGGGGCAGAGAGTGGCCATGAAGACAGAGATGCCCTTCGGCACGAAAGCCTCCAGCTTTTCCCAGCCGAAGAAATCCTCATTGACAAACTCTGGAGGCGTGGGGACGGAGCCAGCGACGTCGTCTACAACGATCACGTCGTCAGAAGCAGGCTGCTTGCCGGATTCATCCACCTTCTGTTTCTTTGCTGATGGCTCATGCCCCTTCACCGGCTTTTTCTTCTTCTTGGCCGCATCGGCCTGAGAGCCCCTAGCTCCATCACCAGCGGGGGCGGCTTCGGAAGGATCCTCCCCCTCCTTCCTGAAGAAGACATCCACCGGCTTCTGGGCCGTCGGCTCCTTCCTCTTTTTAGCCTGGGCCTTTCCCTTCTGCCTCTTCAACGCCACGAAGGATTGGACGTCCATGGTAGCACCTGCCAGATAAACCAAGTATAAGACCGAAGGGATAAAGGCAACAACAAGAATGAAAATATGAAAATATTTCTAAGTACGAAATGCTAGAGCCTTCGGGAACCACCTTCGACGCTCTCGTAAACCCGATCTATCATCGGATACTTCTCGTCACTCTCCCCAAACAGGCGGTAACGCCGGAAGCCCAGGCTATACAAGTCGTTCGGGAGGGTGGCATCATCAATCGTCACCACGTCCTCGGGCCCCTCCAGCTTAGCTGATATCTTCTTTGCCGATTTCTCGAGAGCGGCACTCCCCACTTTCGAATGCGCCAGAAATTGTCTCGAAGGGGCGCGGGAAACGAATTCTCCGCCATACAGATGTAGCAGAAACGTTCCCTCCATCCTTTGTGGGACGAAGGAACCTCTGAGAACAGCCTCCATTCCGGGACCTGTTGGAGGTTGGCGAAACCTTCGCAATTTACGTGACCACCCCGGCACAAGTTTAAGCAGAGAAAGAAGAGGTCTAGGGAGGGCTCCACATCAATGGAGCGGCAAAGGGATAGGAAGCCGACGATATAGGAGTGGCTATTGGGAGTCAACTGGCAGGGGGCCAGGTTTACGAAGTTCAAGTACTCCACCATGAACGGATGGAGAGGGAACCGAAGGCCTATTTCCACCAAGAGGACATGCACGGTGAAGCAGCCTTCGGGGGGCGAGACAACAGGTTAGTGGGTCCCGGTTCTACCACAGTCGTCGAGGGCCCAGCATATAGTTGTGTAGCGTGGTAGTCGGCCGCTTGAGCTTTCGTCTTTAGATCGAGGGTCATGGTATTCAGAAACGAATACCCCTTAGGAATACCGACGGGCTTCCCGGCATCTGCAGCCGCTTGCTTCTTCTTGGAAGCTGATTTCACCTTCTTCTTCTTCAACGACGCAGCTCTAAGGGGTTCTGGAATGAGGGCTCGTGAAGTCCCCGCTCCGCTGGCCACTGCCAAGGGGATATCAACAGTAACTTGTTGTCGCTCCTTCTCCTCCTCCGCGGTATGAACGACGAGGGCCAGCTCCTCGTCCTCGTTCACTTGCTCAAATTCCTCGGCCTCAGCCTCGGCTCTGAGGTTGCTCTGGACCTCCATGGCCTCAGCAGAGTCACCGTTAGATGAAGCCTCATCTTCTACTGATCTCTCATCCGACCATGTCTCAGACTGGACCGAAGGCTCTCTCAAGATATCATGGGAATACTTGTGGATTACATCCTTCAATAATATATTAGGAGGTTCAGGTGACAGAAACCCTAAGGCCACTAACACTAAATCTAAAGGAGGCGAAGCAAAGTAGGCAAGAAATACCAAGAACGGGGGAAGAACTGACCTCGGTAGAAAAGGTTGGATCGAACAAAGGGCTTTCTCTCTCTATAAAATTTGGCAGAGCTTCGCTTCAACTAAAAATCGCACAAGGAAAATGGGTTCAGACCAGGGGTATTTATAGCCTCCTGAAACCACGATTCAGGCCTGAATCTGGGCCTCGGGTTTAAAGCCCATCATCACGAACCGTCGCGTCAACCAACTTGCGACACCCGCCCGGAACAAGCCAACTATCCCTCGCCACGTGGCCGGCTCCCCCAACGGTCATATCCCAACGGCTATTTTTGAAACACTGAGGTGGCCTCGGCTGGCACCCTTCAAACGACAACAAAGCAAGCCCTCGGGTTATCACATTCAAACCCCTTCATCCAGAGTTAGCCCTCAGCACGAAGGTGTGGTGGACTGGGGAACCCCTCGGGAAATACGCCAGTTTTCAAAGAATCCTCGCCGACTTCACCAAAATTGCAAAGGCGACTCACTTACACTTCCCCTCAGGAAGCTCTCAGCCCCTCAAGGTATGAGGGACTGGGGGACTCCCCTCGGCAAGCACCGGAATATTCATTTGTATTCATCAACTACGGTCATATTCCGACGACTACTCCCAACGGTCATGCCCTCAGACAGTGAACGGCCCTCGGCCTTAACATGATCATGTATCTCACGCCGAAGGTTTCACCCCCCTTGCTTCATTTTGGGGGCATCTGGTGCACTTTTTTTCCCTCATTAGGTTTTTTTCCCACTGGGTTTTTTCCTAATGAGATTTTAACGAGGCATCTCCCCATTTTGGATCAAGAGGTGTCGACCTCAGCCCTCGGCTACCTGCTGAAAAACCAACAAACCCTCGACTCTAATGTGTGGGGGGTCGGCCCTCGGCTAAACACGGAAAAAGCAATGTTTTCACTACTTCACAACTACATCAAGGCAGCCACCGGAGACTTTACAACACTTCTATTTCCCTCGAGAAGCTCTCGACAAAAGGAGTGGGGGACTCCTGATGGAGTATATGGCCCAAGATCCTCCGGTCCACACACTTCCACCACCACAGCCAGGCCCAAACGACCCAAACACAGCAAGCAAAACACCAGGCAACCCATACTACGCAAGGTGTGCCTTCGGCCCCATGCTCGAAGGCTCTATACTGAGCAAACGATTGAACCTGATCCAGAAACATCACCAGGAAACAAGGCTTGAAATGTGAGCCTTCGGCATTTACAGCCTTCGGGATTTGATGCCCCCAGCTATGTATAGCCTTCGGCACATGAAGGCCCTGGTACGTGCAGTCGAAGGCACTCTCCACGACAGGATCTCCCCTTCACATGCGCTGGATCGCCGCATTGAATGTGAACGTCACACCCAAACCGCCACATTGAATGCGGCCACATGCTATGTTGGCACCACCCTGGCTGAGTTGACCCTCCATCGCTGGTTGCTTGACACATGTACCCTCGTTGATTAGACCTAGCATTTATGGCTACTATAAATAGCGTCCGTTTTCCATTGTAATCGACACACAATTTATATATCGAATACATACTCACTCACTTTCTTACTTGCTCTGACCTCTCTCTTGATACTTCTTATAATATCTCTCGGATTAACTACCCCCGGGTACACTATCCGTCAAAAATTAAATAAAGTAATGTTCCAAAACGTACAGTTTTTCAACGAAATTCAAAAAGATGTTTAGAATAGGATAGACAATATGTGAAAATAATATATATATATATATATATATATATATATATATATAAATCATAAATAATATTGATAGATGTTGTGAAACTTTCACAAATATTCAGTATTTTCTTAGTATAATATAATAACACCAATAAAAATACTCATTGTTTATAATATAATTACAAATTTATTTATATTTTTTATAGGAGTGTAAATCTTTAAAGTATAGATACATTTGGAAGCACATGTTACCGCAAACAACGTGTGGCTGAGTTGGTAATACGTTGTGATGAAGTATATTCCTGTATACCACAGGGGCATCATAATCACCGGTATAAAGCATCACGGATTCGATCCGGAATGAGAAAAAGACCAAGTCCACAAATATGTCGACCCCGACCCCGACCGACCAGGGTCAGGAACAAGCGCCGGGCAACGAAATAACTAAGGACCAAGGAACTGCCCGACCTCGACCTCGACCCCTGAGGTCGGGAAAACACCAGGCTCAGGAATTGACCGAACTCGACAAGATATGAGCCCGACCTCGAGTCACCCGAGCTCGGTATCGGGTCTGACCCCGGAAGTCAAACACATGGTCAACGGAAGGCAAGCGTCAAGCAGCCAACTACCTCGAAAGCGGGAACAAAGGGGCGAGTCCTCTCATCACGAGTCCGAGCTCCCAGATATCGACCTCAGTGATCCCCAAGGTCTGAGTGAAGCATCATGGACTTAGACAAAATCCGCAAGGACCAGCATCACAAGGAAATACTGCCACGTCTTCACCTGCCGCAGATAACATATGCCAGAATACACATGCGTAACCACACGGGTATTTTGGTAGCAGTCTGTTAGAGATTATTCCAATCAGCCAGCTGTCCAAGACTATCTCTCCAATCACCTTTACACATGGCTGCTCCCCATCGAATCAGTCTGGTAGTTTGTTAGAGTAGCTGTACACGTGTCTCCTTCCCATTTGGTCTATATCTTTTTTCTTGGGCACCAAGTATTGCCTTTTATCTCTTAGTATAAATATCACCTTCCAACCTGTGGAAGGGATCGATTGATCGTCTTCTCTATACACTTACTGTTATTCTGCCAGATTGCATACATGTACTTTCCGATCAGTTCACTCTCCTTTTAGTTGGATTCCGACCACCCCCGATCCGATAATCCATCAATTTTTAGGGCTTTCATTGAGACCGGACCTTCTAGTCCTCAGCGGCCCAGACCCGCTCTTTAGCACGTTGGACACGAGCCTCTGTCTCACTAAGGGCCTGGACAGCCTCGTCGGCAGATTCCTTGAGAGCTGCAAACTGAGATTGGCATTCCTGGAGTTGGGCCTCGGCATCTTGGGCCCTCTTCTGGAGCTCTTCCATATGACCCTGAGTAGCCTCCAGGGCCTGCTCAGCCAGGCGCCGACTTTCAAGAAGGTCTGATCGCTTTGAGGCAGCCATTCTCGCCTTGAGTTCTGCGGCCTCCACCCTCATGACCAGCTGTTCATAACCCAAGGTAGCAGTCTGTAACAACAAGGGAGCAGAATCAGAAAAAGGAAGAAATACAGAGAAGAGAAAGAAACGAGATACTGAGAGAAGGCTTACCTTAAGGGCACTGGAGGTGAGCTCCTCCGCAACACTTTGGGTGTCCATCCCCTCCATGACCCCAACGTCACATGGGAGACGGAGTTTTCCCAGTAATTCCATGGCCCCAACGTTCTCAGAAACGAAGCCCCGATTGTCCCTGATTGAGAACTGGAACCTGTGCCTTTTCCGTCCGCTGGCGGAATCATGTGGCGGTCCACTTCCGTTGGCCACTGAAAGTTTTTCCCGACTGCCGGATGGGGTAGCATCATTGGCCCCTGAGGCACCCGAGCCCAGACGGCTTTGGAGCTGCCCGACAATCTCCTTATCTTCATCATCATCTTCACCTTCATCTGTGGCATCTTCAATGACCACATCGGGTGAAGGAATGGGGGCTTCACCTGCCGCGGCATTGGCAGGCACCGCGGCATCCCCGCGTTGGGCCGCGACATCATCTTGCTGGGTGCCCCTTCACCAGCGGCACCTGCATTATGCCCATCCCCAGAGTTCTTGGAAGAAGAAGAGGAACCGTGGGAGGATGGCTCATCGTATTTAACGCCAGCAGAAGATTGAGTCTTCACTCTCCTGCCTCCTTGTGCCTGGTCAAGAAGATCGAACAGGCTGGCACTACCTGTAATATCACAGTTAAACACAACAAGAGGACAAGGAATACAGGCAACAGTTACCAACGTTAAGCACCAGACCAAGAGTAAGTACCTCGAGAAGCCGAAGAAGCTTGAAAAGGGGAAGCCAAATCAACCTTGGCAGGATCTGCCCTTTTCTTGACGGGCTCAACTCCAACCTTCGCGGGATCTAGCAGTCTCGGAAGAGAACGCACCTCTCTAACGCCTCTTCCTCTCCAACACAGGCTCTTCATCTTCCGAGGATTCATGCCCGGGAGAGGACATATGGGCAAATGCGCTCTCCTCACCTGAAGACTCGGGGCCCAAGACATCAGAAGCAGTAGGCCTGTCGGTTCCCCTTTTGCCCTGTGCCATGGCCGCAGACGCTGCCAAGGCTGCGGCAAGATCAGCGTCATCTGAGCCCTGCTCCATGGCCACAGACGCCGCAACAGCGGCAGCAATGTCAGCCTCCTCCTGGGCAGTGGCCCGCACATCACCTTGTGGTTCACCACTGGTGGCAGCACCTTGATCTTCAGCAGGAGCCTCGACGTAAAAAATGAAGCCCAGGTCCTTCAGCTTCTCCTCGGGCAGGAAGGATGTTATATCTTTGTCACCATACTTGATGTAGGTATCCACAACATCGGCAAATCCATCTAACGCATCGGCATCGTGCATATTGAATGAAAGGGAACCAGGAGCAGTAAAGGGAGACCCCCCTCCCTATCAGTACAGACGAACACAAACATGTGCTTCCATCCATGGTGCGACGATGGGGTGTGGTGGAACTCACTCCTACCAGACCGTTGGGAGATAAGGGCATTACCCTGATTCTCCAGCGAACTGTTGAGTCCGATTTGGAACAGATGCCTAAAAAGGCTAACGCTGACCCCCAAGTTCAGAACCTTGCAGCGTAAGAGGAAAACGGCAATCAAATAAAACCCATTGGGGGTTACCTGGCAAGGGAGCAACCCAACCCAATTGAGGTACTCCACAAAAAATGGGTGCAGCGGGAAGCGAAAGCCATGGTCCATCGCATCGAGGTGGACCGTGAAGTAACCCGAGGGGCAAGAGGATGCCAAACTCCCCACCTCAGGCCTCATGATATCAACGGTAGGACCGGCCATACGCCTGGCTTCGGCCCACTCAGCATCGGTAAGGGCACACACATCCACGAGGGGCCCATTCTCCGCGAGGGTGCCAACCGCGCCCCCACGCTTCCCCTTGCCGCCTTTCCGCCTCCTGAACGAGCGGAGGGGAGGCACATCAAACACTACGGGAACTCCTTCAAACTCACGTGGAGGGACAACATTTTCTCCAGTGTTAGCAGAGGCACTGTGAGAAGACATCTTCGAAATCTGCAAAACAAAAACGTACATGCAGAAAATCAAAATCGGGGTTGAGGAGCATTAATCCGACCCCCAAACAAAAATTAAACGCTCGAATCGACATCAGCATGCGATTCCGAGCCCGGAGATACCATCCTCATCAAGAATGGGGGACTGTAAACCCCCCCATTGTTCAGAAAGCCAGTTCGAAGGAAAAACCCTCATTTTGGGTTTTTCGGCTAAACTGCGACCGACGAAGAACGAACAAACGGCACCGGAGACTAACCTGGTAAGGAGAGTCGACGGAGAAAAATAGAACTTCGGTAGCACTAGCCGGAGAAGAAGGGCTCTGGGATTGCTTGAGAATTCTGGAAGCTTGAACACAAAGAAAGCGCAAAGGAGAAAGGAAAAATCTTTCGCCTTTTATATTTCCCTTCAAAAATGAACGGGAAGCTTACACGTGGCGCACTACTCTCCAACCGCCCAAAAAACTCAAAGGTTTTTTCAAAAAGGCGTGCAAAAAGGCGCAATGATGATGCCGTACAATCACTCCAAATGCCATCCCTCGCATTAAATGCTGAGAAGCGGCTATTAATTCAAAATGTTGCAAAAGGAATGTCTAAAGATTCCTATTTGTACACATCAGTGTTACTACACGCCACAAATTCTCCTAGTTCCACCAAGCACTAAATGCAAATGTCTCGTCCCCCTCAGAATCATACTCTTTCGCACTTAGAAAATATTCTAAGTCCACAAGAGTGGGGGACTGGTAAGCTATGTAGCACGGAAACTCTTGGGAAGGAGTACGTTTCCGTTTCGGAAACTCTTGGAAACTCTCCAAACAAGCCTTTTTGGGCAACATTTGACGTTTCCCGTTTTCCTTTTCCTCATGACATTCACGTTTCCGTGCAACATAGCTGGTAAGTGGGGGACTCGGGAAAGAAATCAAAAAACAAGACTACAACAAGCTCAGAACACGCAGCGACCTCGAGATCAGCACCAAACAGGTATATCTCTGAAACAAGCTTTGCACACACACACACTGAAATTCCTTACAAAATTTCTTTGAAATCAAAATCTTATCAACCCACGATCGGGGCCGTGGATGTAACAACTAACCCATGAAGCAGGTTTGGAATGTGAAATACACGGAGCTCGAGCTCGAACCTCTCTGCAGCGGGGCGTCGCTTTCCTCTCCGAACTTCATGGCAAAGCGGAGTATACTGTTTTTCTTCCGTTAGGATTTTTTCACACCGGGTTTTTCCTCAACGGAGTTTTTAATGAGGTACCCCTTTGTCATGACCATGGAAGAGTAGCACCCCTGTCGGGCGAACGGGCCTAGGAAATTGAAGATTTACTCTCTCTCACCTCAAGTTTCACTTTCGCTTCGGAGAGTGAGGGACTCATGATGGAGTATATTCCCGTATACCCCAGAGGCATCATAATCACTGGGATAAAGCATCATAGATTCGATCCGGAATGAGCAAAAGACCAAGTCCACAAATATGCCGACCCCGACCCCGACCGACCAAGGTCAGGAACAAGCGCCAGGCAACGAAATAACTAAGGACCAAGGAACTGCCCGACCCCGACCTCGACCCCCGAGGTCGGGAAAACACCAAGCTTAGGAATCCACCGAACTCAACAAGATATGAGCCCGACCTCGAGTCACCCGAGCTCGGTATCGGGTCTGACCCCGGAAGTCAAACACATGGTCAACGGAAGGCAAGCGTCAGGCAGCCAACTACCTCGAAAGCGAGAACAAAGGAGTGAGTCCTCTCATCACGAGCTCGAGTTCCCAGATATCGACCTCAGTGATCCCCAAGGTCTGAGTGAAGCATCATGGACTTAGACAAAATCCGCAAGGACCAGCATCACAAGGAAATACTGCCACGTCTTCACCTGCCGCAGATAAAATATGTCAAAATGCACACACGTAACCACACAAGTATTCTAGTAGCAGTCTGTTAGAGATTATTCCAATCAACCAGTTGTCCAAGACTATCTCTCCAACCAACAGTCTGTTAGAGATTATTCCAATCACGGGTATTCTAAATTACACGTGGTTGCTCCCCATCAAATCAGTCTGGTAGTTTGTTGGAGTAGCTTTACACGTGTCCCCTTCCCATTTGGTCTATATCTTTTTATTTGGGCACCAATTATTGCCTTTTATCTCTTAGTATAAATATCACCTTCCAACTTGTGGAAGGAATCGATTGATCGTTTTCTCTATACACTTACTGTTATTCTGCCGGATTGCATACCTGTACTTTCCGATCAGTTCACTCTCTCCTTTTAGTTGGATTCCAACCACCCCCGGTCCAATAATCCATCACGTTGTGTTGCCGTCATACGTTGGGAACCTTTAGGTTTTTTGTTTCCATTTAGAGCGGTTCCGAGCTTAAGATTGGACAGGTCTGCCCTAGAGTGGTTCACAATTCACAGTCCCAATTTACCGTTTTGGGGACCAACCCGGGCGGTTCCGATTTTGAGGACTAAACTGGGTAGTATTCAATTAAAATACATCAGAATTTAAGAAAAACTTCAGAACACTAAATTTAAGAAAATCTTCAGAACACTGAATTGAGACACCTGGAATTCATCAGAATTTAAAATATGTGAAGTTTCATATTGAGAACACCCCTTAAATAAATGAATATATCACAATAGAAAAATGTATGGATGTATATTTTAGAGTGTCAAGACGTCAAGTCCGACACACACAAAACATGCTAATTATAAAGTGATTCGCTTACTTTCGTTGACATTCCAATATTAACATGATTAGTACATAATTCATGATACAAGCTATGTAATGCGGATGATATAATAACTCCTAAAGCTGCAACAATAAAAAAAAAACTGATTATCTGGCAAAGTCCTACCACGTAGTGAGACAGGCCTAAATTATTACATAGAAGTAGTTGATAACCCGTCTTTACTGGGCGCCTAACTGTGCTTCTCGACTGGTCAGTGGAACATACCTGACATCAGTCACACTATGGTCGTTAATGGTGCCATCTGAATTCTTGTCCACAACCTTCAACTCCTGGAAGACCGCCCCCACCGGAATGACCAATCTCCCACCTGGCTTCAGCTGATCAATGAGGGCTTTCGGTATGTCACCTGTTGCTGCCGCTCCAACATGGATAGCATCATAAGGTGTGTGCTCTGGCCAACCATCCCTTCCATCTAATTTACCATTGGCAAGTATGCAACACCATATTACCATATGAAGGATCTGTCATATACTCTGTCCTTATAATCCATTCGTGCCTATTGAAAGTTTCGGAATTATTTTACAAGACATCCCTAAATAAATTCTTTTTTGGTATTTTTTATCAATTTACTGCACTACTTTCAATAATATTAACACTTACCACACGACTCTTAGGCCCTGTTTGGTTGGGGGGTTTCGGAGGGGAGGGGAGGAAAGTGGAGGATTTGTGTGTGTTTGGTTGAATGAAATAGGGAGGAAGGGGAGGAAAGTGGAAGGCTTTCAAAATCCTCCAATTCCTCTCATTCTAAACCTCCAAATCGGGGTATTTCGGAGGACACGTGTTGATAACCACAAACTATCCATCTCCTACGTGAATGAACAAAACGTTATATATAAAAAGGTAAAAAACAAAAAGTTTTGAAAAATTAAAAAAAAAATAAAGATTAAAAAATTAAAAATTTTAAAAATTAAAAAAATGAAAAATTATAAATTAAAAATTTTAAAAATTAAAAATAAAAATATTTAAAAAATAAAAATTAAAAATTCCAAACTGAAAAATGAAAAATTATAAAATTAAAAAAGTAAAAAATCAAATAAAATAAAATTACGACTCATGACCATAGGAGTAATATTCACAATAGTTAGACATGTATCTATTTTTTTAAGTAAGCTATCAAATAAAAGTAAATTGCGAAAATATTTTCATTAAACCTTTCCTCCTATTTCCTCCAACCAAACACAAATTTTTATCAAAATCCTTCCTTCCCCTTCCCTTCCCTTCCCTCCTTGACTCTCCCCTTCCCTCCCCTCCTTTGAACCAAACAAGGCCTTAAGCACTGATCACATGTCAGTTGTCACATAACAATGTCACACTCCCTCCAATCCAATGTAAATAACATTTTAAATGAATTCACACAATTAAGAAACAACTTAACAGCTTAACCCCAATATACACTTAGGTTTAAGTATTAGCATTAGTGGGACAAATAATTATAACTAGTGTATTCCCTGAAAAATTGAATGAATCTAGAGAGTAAATCATCATTTTCATTTATCCCAGTGCCGCAAAGGCTCCCACCTACGGTGGGGTAAGGGGGGTCGGATGTACGCAGTCTTACCCCTGTACTAAAGCACAGAGAGACTGTTTCCGGATGACCCATAGTGAAAATCGCGTCCAAAATTGCATGGACTGACTGCTTCTCCATAACAAAGAAGCGCAGACAATTTAGTGAGCCATTTTGCTTTATTCCATCATAATCTCAAGCCAAAAAATAATAAATCTTTGGCTCCATTGCAAATGATGGAAAATCTAGAGAGTAAATACGGGGAAAAAATGAATGTAAGCTTACATTTGGTTAAACGTCATTTATATTGCAAGGAATCACAAGTTCACAAACATTAATCAGATTGAAACAAAATCGAGTATCAAAGTTAGCAACATATTTAAAAATTGTGTTTCGTGGGTGCATAGGAGTCCTGCAAAAATCTGGTCTGGTGCAAATGTTGTCATTTACCACCTATCTGCATGCCATGTCAACTACATAGGGTTACCTAAATTAGGAAAGAAAATCGAACCCAGGTAAAAGATGCATCCCAGTTCATATGTTACTATAGTCAGACATTTACAGCCCATTTGTGGGTTATTTGGCTCAAATTGCTGGATTTTCTTAAACAAAAAAGAGTTTCGCAACATCTATTTTAGCCAAATAAGCGAGTCAAAAACTACTTATTCTGAATATTCTACTTATAAAGTTTGAGAATAGCAGAAATCCCCACTTATGGCTACCACCAAATGGAGCCTTATTGAACAGCAGAGTTTTTTACATTGATATTCAATTTGAACACAGAAGAGACACGTACCACCAATGTGCAGTGAGAGGGATCCATCTTTTAGTAATGGAGCAACAGCACTTTTCTGAACATTCTCTATAGACAAGGTAACCAACTCCGGGATATGATCCACACCTACTGCCTGACCTTGTGGTCCAACCATTTGAGCAAAACACGCTGTGAGATATCCAGTACCTGAACGATGACAGACCATTCATTAAAAACAAGGATGTTTTTAGACAATACCATGTTTAGATCAAATTTGGAGACACTTGGATTCCCGCTTTTAGCCACATTTAGACATTTAGACACTTGGATTCCCACTTGGTTGAGTGAATGTTGTAGAATAAATTTACTCAACCCCCTTTACACAAGTGAGATCTACTGGCAAATGTTCTTTTGTTAGACACAGACACAAATCAAAGCTAAAACTGTAATCCAACTCACAGATCTGATGAACAGAGATGGAAATAGACGTTTATTGATGATATAGGGGTAAACCGTAGGGTACAGGGACTTCTTAGGCAACCGGGACTCTCAAGGCAACAATACATCCAAAAATAACCGCCCCTCTTCTTACCCATTTTATTCTATTTATAGACCTACAGCTCCACTAGCTATAGTTAATAGCTAATAACAGGACAATTATTACAAACTTATTCTATTTATTATTATTCTATGTAGGTCCCTAACAAATCTCCCCCCTAAACAACCACCTTGCCCTCAAGGTGGGCAATAGGTAACCTTCTGCGTCCTCTTCATCCTGGCGCTTCTGCCTTCCCAATATTTCACTAATTTCTGAGAGAGAAGCTTCAATACTTGATCTTTCCGATTCACTGATGTTTCCTGAACCTCTTTGCCAGTGTGATTCAACACAGGAACTGAACCACATTTTGTAGAGTTAGCTTCTTCCTTGATCTGGATAGCATGATCATAAGCCTTGATTGGAGGGAAGTTTAATCTGACTTTGAAAACTTCAGAGAACTCCTTCACAGCCTCCTCTCCTGTATAAAGCTTTTGTTCCATGTTATGTTCTTGCTCTTGGCCCTTACAATTCAGCAAGTTCTCTTCTCCATTTTGTTTCAGAATCAGTGCCATGATTGTGAGAGAAACTGCCATACTATTTAGGGCTATATCCCCTTTGATTGAGCAAATCTGACTCTCCTGCTTCCATATAAGGTTCTGGTTTTGGAAATTGGCAGCCATATCTCCCAATTGAGTTAACCATTCCATTCCAAGCACAAGTTCTGTCCCTTCCAACTCCAGGATGTAAAATACTTGTTGTATTACATTCCCTTGCACTTCTAATTTCAGTCCCAAACATCTGCCACTATTGGAAATGAACTCCCCATTCCCAGTCTGGACCTTATATCCTTTTATTTTATAGTAAGGAATTTTATACTTGTCTACCAATTTCTGTGATACGAAATTGTGGGTAGCACAACAATCAATGAGAATGTTTACTGGTTTCTCTCCTGCAGACCAACTTAGTTTCCCCATTACTTTAAAAGTTCTCATATAAGGTATACCTTCTTTACTGAGCACTGATAATTGCATTGATTTTAGTTCAGGGTGAGGCCCTTCTTCTTCTTCAGACTTGCTGCAATCGTCTTCAGTTTCTGCCTCTTCTTCAGAGTTTTCAATCAAAACCATTTTGAAATTTCTCATCTGGCATACATGCCCTCTATTCCAGTTGTCCACACACTTGAAACACAATCCCTTCTTACTCCTTTCCACCAATTCTTTTTGGGATAAACTGGGGCCTATTTTTCCGGAGTTAGAACCTTCACCAATCTCCCCACTCTTGTTATCATTACTCTTATTTCCAGAAGACTGTGTAGGAGTTGGATTACTGCTACTTCTAATCCCTTCTTCCCATTTCTGATAACTGCTTCCTTTAGATGCCGTGTTCTTCCATGTTCTTTTTCCTTCTTCTTTATTCTTTCTGAACAATATTTCCTCGTTCTTATTCTCAATCAACTGTGCATTTTCCATGATTTTAGCAAGATCTTTGGTCTTATACAACTTTAGTTCAGCCTTGATATCCTTCTTTAATCCATTCAAGAAGATGCCTCTCATAACCTTCTTGTCCAAATATTCTTGAGAAGCAAGGGCCGATTCAAATTGTTCTCTGTATTCTTGTACAGAATTTTTCTGTTTCAGACTCAACAAAGGACCCAAGGGATTTTGGATCTACTCTGGTTGAAAGCGACGAATCAGCGCCTTCTTTAATTTCTCCGATGTCCTTTCTCTTGCTTGTTTCTCCCACCATTGAATCCGTCCAAGAGCTTTGCCTTCCATCGCTACTACTGCAACTTCAATCTTATCCTCTTCTTCTGTATTGTTGAGTCGGAAATAAAGATCAATCCTGACAAGCCAGCCATAAGCGTCTTCACCGCTGAATAAAGGTAGGTCAACCTTTCTGTGCGTCTGATGGTGATGGCGATGCCGGTGTGGTGGTGAATACCCTCTGTGACCTTCTGATCCATCGGAACTATCCTCCGATTTCGTCGAGTGATGATGCGATGAGTGATGCGATGAGTTAGAGGCCGTCGATCGACTACGCGAACGATGTTGATCTCTCGCATCCACCCTCGCCATAATCGCCGCCAACAATTCCGTCATTTGTTGATGATTTCTATTCACCTTCTCATCCAACTCATTCAACCGCAAATCCATCTTCGTTCGTGTCCAAACCATCCACAGAATCAACACGCTCTGATACCAATGTTAGACACAGATACAAATCAAAGCTAAAACTGTAATCCAACTCACAGATCTGATGAACAGAGATGGAAATAGACGTTTATTGATGATATAGGGGTAAACCGTAGGGTACAGGGACTTCTTAGGCAACCGGGACTCTCAAGGCAACAATACATCCAAAAATAACCTCCCCTCTTCTTACCCGTTTTATTCTATTTATAGACCTACAGCTCCACTAGCTATAGTTAATAGCTAATAACAGAAGACAATTATTACAAACTTATTCTATTTATTATTATTCTATGTAGGTCCCTAACATCTTTCAAGAAATCGAAATCCCAAGGTTAACAAGAAAAGTTATGGTTATATATACCATCAAGCCAGAACATTATGATAAATGATAGTCTATACTAGGATTATTACTAGGATAACAGATTATGTAAATCATGACATGTTTTTTATCCCACAAAAAATGGTTGCATATTCTTTGGGGGGGGGGGGGGGGGGGGGGGTTTGGAACCTGGAAAGAAAATGGGGAGGAAAACCTGAGAAGAATAAAGGGAAAAAAATCTGTTGGAAGTTAATAAAGTCCACTTAAATTCATTTTTATCCTTATCTTATATTTAGCTTTATCTTATCTTTTTTTATCTTCTTTATCATACCTTATCTTTTTATCTTTCTTATCTTACTTTTCCTTTTGGCTCTAATATCATGTATCGATTCATGTTAGCCGACCCCAAAATCTTTTGGGACTACGGCTTGGATGTCATTGTTGTGTTGTATTTCCATTAAATGAAGAATGGGAGACTAAGAAATTTAATGATAGGGATACAGCTAAACCGAGCAAAGAAGATAAATACTTTGGAAGAGTCTATTCTAGGAGGAGTAAATAGAATAGTTAGTTGTTAGTTAAATTCTGTTATTAGCTAATAACTACCTTCGGTTAAGCTGGAGAACTATAAATAGAATAAAGCTGGGAAAGGAAAGTAAGTTGTTAGACTCTTGGCTTGGGACTGGGGAGAAATAGAGATTAGTTATCTCGTTTCTTGGAGTTCTTTGTACACTTTCCACCATTAATGAAAGCTTGAGATTGTTTTCTTCAATTCAATTTCTTCTTTTCTGTAAACCATACATATCTGCGAGTACTCTATCAGTGGTATCAGAGCATGTCGATCACTGTGGATGGTCCTGACGCGAACGAAGAGGGAACTCACCTAGAATCTAAAGCTATGCAGCTATCTGTACTCAGTAAAGAAGGGATACCTTCTATGAGAACCTTTAGGGTGATGGGAAAACTGAAATGGTCTACAGGTGAGAAGCAGGGGAACATTCTCATTGATAGTGGTGCTACCCACAACTTCATAACCCAGAATTTGGTAGATAAGTATAAAATTCCTTTCAATCAAATTAAAGGATATAAGGTCCAAATTGGGAATGGGGAATTCATCCTCAATAGTAGCAGATGCATGGGGATGAAATTAGAAGTGCAAGGGAATGAAATACAACAAATTTTTTATATCCTGGAGTTAGGAGGTACTGATGTGGTGCTGGGAATGGAGTGGTTAACTAAATGGAGGCAGTGTGAACAGGAGTGTACTATCAACGGGAATACATCCTTAAATAATGTGGAAGTTTCTCTTAAAACCATGACACATATTCTGCAGCAAACTGGAGATGGGTACTTGCTGTATTGTGAAGGGCAAGAGCAGGAACAGGATTTGGACAGAGAACAATGAAGAATGTGAGGAGATTGTGAAGGAGTTTCCAGAAGTTTTCAAATCTAAATTGGATTTTCCTCCAATGATCAAAAGAATGATATTGAAAAGATCATTAAGGAAATGCTTAGTTCAGGGATAATAAAACACAGCAATAGTCCTTATAGCAGTCCAGTGAAAAGGGATGGTGGTTGGAGGTTTTATGGAGATTATAGATCTCTGAACAAAATAACAGTCCCGGACAAGTTTCCAATTCCAGAAATTGAAGAACTACTTGATGAATTAGGAGGAGCTAAGGTATTATCAAAATTGGACATAAAATCTGGATATCACCAGATTAGGATGAAAGCAAGTGACACTCACAAAACTGCTTTCAGGACTCATGAGGGACATTATGAGTACTTAGTCATGCCCTTTGGACTGACTAATGCTCCCTCAACTTTCCAAGCCCTAATGAATGAAGTCTTGAGACCATTCCTAAGGAAATTTGTTCTAGTTTTCTTTGATGATATACTAGTATACAGCAAATCCAAGGAAGAACATAAAGAACACTTGAGGAAGGTCTTAGAAGCCCTGAAGGAGAATAGTCTGGTAGCAAATGGAAAGAAGTGTTTATTTGGTCAAAATCGGTTGACTTATCTGGGTCATATCATTTCTGAGCATGGAGTTTCTGCAGACCCTAGTAAAATAGAAGCAATGAAGAGTTGAAAGGAACCAAGGGACCTCAAAGGGTTGAGAGGGTTCTTAGGGTTGACTGGCTATTACAGGAGGTTT